AGGCTCCCCCCGACATAAGCGCCGTCGACGCCCATTCTGGCGTCGTCGGTGCCATTGCTCCGCTATTTAATTCCCAAGTCTCTGTCAAATGGCGCCGTCGGGCCCAGTCTGACGCCGTCAGCGCTGAACAAATTTTTAACTTGTCCATTTTGACTCCAAATTTCATTCTTTTTGCTTCATTTTTGTTTCAAACCCTCAAAATCAACAACCTGCAATAAAACATAAAAAATATCTTTCTTTAAAGTGCAATATCATAAAAAATGAGTATAAAATATGGTTTTAAAAATGCATATATTTTTTGTTTATCTAAATTTCCCAAACTTAAATGTTACTTGTCCTCAAGTAACTCTTTTATCACATAAAAATATGACATGGTAAAAATTTTAACTTCTAGATTTTCATATCTTAGTTCACTAGATATAATAGCATCACTTGAGAAAAATTCAAAATAACTCTAATTAATACTAAAGATATAAGAATATCTAGCAGAAGTCTAAGATTTTTTACTCTCTTATTCTTTTCAAGGAAAATTACAACTTATTCATATTAAAGCCACTTAGAATATCTATATGAAAAAAAATTTCATGAAACTTTACTGGTAAATATACTAATACTGAAATATAAGTTTAGAAAATGTAGTCAAACCTTCTTCTTTAAGTTGATTCAAGTGAAGCTAATTTTTAATTAGACATCTCCTCAAGCTTGTTCTCACATCTTTCTTTTTTTGTTTTTTTTTTTCGGGATCATTTTCAATCATTTTTTTTCTTGTTTTCTTCTTTTTTTTTCTTTTTTTTTATGTGAGGATATTATATCTAGATAGCATTTAATGATTTTGAACTTCACTATCCTTTTTTTAAAGTTAAAAACTTTTCACATTCCTTTACTTTATAAATTTATATTAGCTTTAAAAATTTTTCATAAAGTTTTAATCTTTTCTTCTTACATGAATTTCTAAGATTTTTAATACTTCAAAAATACAAATTCATTTACTTAAAATAGAAAAACAGTTTTATTCTTTCATACCAAATACTCTTAATTTTTAAAATTAACCTTTATTATTTAAAAGTTTACGTAAATTTATTATATATTTAGAAACATAGATATATTTATCTAAAGTTACCCTCTAAAACTAAAGGTCATGTTTAAATTTTTTTTTAAAATATTTTGAAAATATAACTAATTGAGACAAATAAAATTAAGTCTCTTTTCTTCTTGTCTTCTTTTTCTTCTTCACATATATTCAAATTTTGCTGCTGATATAAAATAAAAACAGGGTGAGTAGGAAGCTGAACTGAATGATCAACCTTCATGAATTTGACTATTGCATCATTATAAGCAACATCATATTTTAACTTTTGTCTTATCTAATCATCAAAGTGAGCATTTCTGCCTTCCAGATTTTCCATTCTATAATTCATTCTCAAAACATCTCCCTGTTTGATCATCATTTGCTCCATAAGTTCTTGGATAGTAGTGGTACAAGAAGTACATGAAGTAGAAGGAATATCCCTGATCCTACTTCTAGATCTCAATCCAACACGAGATTCATAAGTCTTTATATTGGCAGACCCACTAGGTTTTAGAGGTTCAATCCTCTCTTTCTCTGGTCTATAATCATTTCCTGTCTGTTCACATATTGTGAATATCAAGGCAGGGTGTGCTAAACCTCCAGAAGTCTCTCTAAAAGCAATAGATCTAATGTTTCTATAAATAATAGAGCCTATATCTATTCCTTTCATCTGTTGGATACAGAAGTTCAAGATGACTCTATCCCTTGTAACCTCACTGTGATGATTTGTTGGAATCATTCTTCCAGAAATAAAATAGTGCCAGACCTTAGATTCTACATTTAACATAGAAAGAGGAAAGTTTACCTTAACTTCATTCTTTACCTTCCAGGTTCCTCTTTCATTAGTAAGAAAAGAAATAACCTCATCCAAGGTCTCATTCGTAGTAGAAAACGATTTATAGTGACAATTATACACATATTCCAACTGATAAAATTCATTAATCTTCCTTGGAGTAAACTCCACCATTTTCCCTCGAACAAACACAGTCTTCAGAAGTCTCCTTAAAATTGGCGTAGAACTCCATCACTAAACCAAAATCGCCTCGGCAGTAAAGTAGCAGAAATTCTTCCACTGTCGAGCATTGATTAACCTCTCGACTTCTCCTCCTGGATTTTTAAATCTTCGATCTGGAATCACTTTTTTAGTTGAAAGTAGACTATTGAAATAAATATTAGCCTTGAAATTGACAAATTTTTTATCATTAAAATTCACTTCTCTTTCCTTTGCTCATTCTTGGTGCCATGGTAAATCTAAGAAAATTTGATAAAATCCAAATAAATTCCCAAAAGTTTCGAAAATCACAATGTATAACGTTTTAAACTTAAATTTACTAAGTAGGAGTTCTTCACCAAAGGATTTTCTAAAAAATCTTCTAAAAAGTTTTCAAAATTTCGGATCTTGACAATGTGAGATAAATTCTCGGTGAAAATAAAAAATTTTGAGTTCAAAGTGTAACTCTTACCTAGAGAAGATGAAATCCAAACTTTATTTGCCTTAAAATCGCCTCAAATCTGAGTAATAGCAAGCCCTAGGTGCAAAAGCCAGAGATTGAAGGTGACTCAAGGGGTAAAATGACGTTTCACTGTGCAAATCACGAATTTTAAAGGTATTTAGGTCGGTTTGGGTCAAGGGCGCTGTAGGCGCCCATGCCGGCGCCGTCGGCGCCAGTGGCCCAAAAACTCTTATTTTGATTTTTTTCAATTTTCTCTCAATTTACTCCAAAGTTTATTTAATCTTTTTGAACATTAATTTTCATCTAAAAATAATTCATAAACTAACATTTTCACAAACAACACCAAACTAACTTTTATATATGAAAATACGCTTTTTACAAATACATTTTTCTACTCACATTTCCACATCTTCAAAGCAAACTAAATTATAATTCAGCGTCGAAATCAAGCCACAACACTAGAACACTGACACTAAACTATACACATATTCAAAATTCTAAAGCAAAAGTAAATCAAATCCACACAATTATATTAAAACATAAATATTTTAAAATAGTCGAGTCCAACTTATTCAATTAATCTATCTCATCTTCAATACTTTCTCTCTAATATCTCTCATAAACTGATAATGGACATACAAATTGTAGAAGGGTCGATGCGGGAACTGATCAGTTGAATTTTCATCGATCCATCCATTTTTCTTGAACATTTATACCAATTCTGCTTCAACTGTTCCTGTATGATCAAGGTTCTCCTTCATTCTCCAATCTAGGTGATCAAAAAAGTAGTTAAGATTTTTTATTGCATTCGCAATACTCTGTAGTTCTCTTTCTATTTTCTTCATTCTCTTCTCCAAAGATATTGAACTTCCAACTGTT